CCTTCCTACCACACCAGCATGTGATACCAAAAAGAACAGAAGCTCTCCTTTTAAGAGTTAGGAATTTACATCAACAATTTACATCCCCATCTTTTAAACAGGTGATTCATGAATTCTATTTTGAGCATCATCCTCCATTTCCCCTGGGGTGACCTTCTCTTTACTCCATCTTCTATTTAGGATACAATTATAAAGCAAATTATTTCCCTTTACAGAAACTTGAGAAGGGCTGAAAAACAATGAGCTAGCCTGTGCATTTTATGCATCTATCTGTCTGACTGGCTACTTGTCCTTCCCTTGTGATGGTCTTTACATGTGTCTAACTGTATAAAGAGGAGAAAAACTGAACTCTACATAAAACGGATAGATGTCTTCTTTTATCTCTTACTACATTAGTGTTATAACTTGTTGACCATCACACTTGCTGCTTATACTGTTTCAGCACAGTATACTAGTCACAGTTGCTACCCTGGGTCACTGCTCCAAAGACAACAAATTTTCAGTTCAACTGAACATTTTTCTGAACTAGAAATTTTCAAAAATGAGTAACACTAAAAATGAGCATGCTACTAAAAAGCATATTAACTATTAAAAGAATGTTTCAGAAGGTTGTTAAATACATGCAATGAAAGAAATAACAAAATTTTTTTCTACCTAAAGAAAAGTAATTTTAAACTGTTAATCGTACTTATGAAGTTATAAACAACATTCATCACACAGATTTTAACTGGCATTTCAGAAAAACCTTAATGATGTGGTTAATAGTTAAAACTTCCAACAGAATTTTTCAGTAACAAATCCAAATAACATGTTAATATGTGTGTTTTATATCAGTAATTTGGTCAACCAGCAGTTCTTTAAAAGATACAAAATAAATTTTATATGAAAAGGTACCACACTTTCAACATAGAATACTATAATTTAGTTTAGGTAAGTCTTCCCCCATGCCATTTATTTAATAATCATTTATTCTGCAATACAGGTAAGACACTGAACTAAACACTAGGGATACAAACATTATAATGAGATCTGGGCCTTTCCCTCAAGGAATGCAGCACTGAGACACAGAAACTTCAACACAGTTTCCTGTTCTGTGATGTTCCCATAGACTGAAAGTGCTACGGGAACTTCAGCACTTGGTTCAGGCTAAGAGTTTTAAGAAAATTCATTACTGACGCCATGTACGTGTGTGTGCCCAGTCGTGTCCAACTCTGCGACCCTATGGATTGTAGCCCGCCAGGCTTCTCTGTCCGTGGGATTTTCCAGGCAAGAATACTGGAGTGGGTTGCCATACTGACCCCACAGTATATAACATGAAAATTCTGGAAACATGGTTATTTTTTGGATAAAATCTGCAAGCCAGAAAAGTTATGCCATAATCTACCATAGGAAAGCCTACATAAATCATGCTTAGAAACAGTCATCGGAATCAAATTATATCAGAACCTCTGAGGGGCTGGAGCCCAGGCATCACTACTTGTAAATTATAATATGTATCCAGAGCTGAAAGACACTGGTTCACTGACTGATTAAGTCATAGTATCAGGACTGATTTAACATCATTATCAACATTAAGACAGGACTGGACTGATTAGTGGACACCCAGGCCCTAAGAGGATCCAGGAACTGAGACGATTTTCACTTGCACCCTATTTTTTAACATATGCCAGTAATTGAAAAGATGACCTTTCATGGTGGGTATCTCATGGCACTCTGGCCTACGCCAAGAAAAGTAAGTGATTGCCAATCTTTAACAATATGTATGGCCTAAGATGTCTAACTGTTTAAACTTTAGAGCTGGACAACTGGAGCCTGTAGAAGTCACAAACTTTGGGTACCAGAAGGCTGAGTCCTGCTAGGATCACTGTATACAAGCATACAGAGAACAATGAAGGCAGCACAAAAAAGGCATTCACCTTGTGATAAAGACTAAGGTCCACAAAATTCAGGGAAGGAAGAGACAAGAATAAGAAGGAGGGGGTGGGTGGGGCAGATTCTTCTGGAAAGAAGAAGACTCCTGAAGCTGTACCTGACTGGCTTTGACTGGAAAGACAGAAAAAAGCATTCCGGCATTCCAGGAAGAAAGGATGGTGAGGGTTGGAAAAAGAACAATATTTTGGGAAAGTGCTAAGGTAACACCAGTCTCCCTTAAAGGAGGTCAACAGTGAATCATGGGGTGGGGCCAAATGATGGGAGGCCTCAATTGACAGGCTGAGGAGTTTGAACTTACTCTTACTGAAAAATGGGGTAACACTTTGGTTAAATATCAAAAATGATTTTAGAAGATTCTTCTGGCAGATTAACATGCAAGATGCACTGAAATTCAAAGGGGTGAGACAGATGAAGATAAAGAGAACATCTCAGTATTTTCCCAGCACAATTCCCTGAGTACATTTTGTTTTTGTATTCAAAAAAAGTGAAGGTTTTAAAAATGAACATTCTACAGCACAGTATACATCTTGGTAGCATTCGGACTGGAATGTCAAACTAATTTTACAAGTCAAATGATTTATAAAAAGGTCTGTTAGCTCTTAAATATTAATGTTTTAATATTAAATTTTACAATAGAAAAGCTAATGACATACTTAGAAGATTAAATATCTATTTACGTGAGCTCTATAGAGAGAAATAACAAAGTTTTCTTCTCCTGAAAAATAATTACTTATACAGTCTAAGGCTAATGAAAATAAAGAGTTAATAAGTAGTAAAGACAATGTTTTTAATATTCTTTTTCTTAACATGAACGCTAATGTCAAAAATGGGCTTCCTGGATGACACAGTGGTAAAGAATAAGCCTGCTAATGCAGGAGACACAAGAGATGCAGGTTTGATTCCTGGCTGGGGAAGATCTCCTGGAATAGAACATGGCAACCCACTCCAGTATTTTTGCCTGGAGAATTACAAGGACAGAAGAGCGTGGGGGCTCTAGTCCAAGGGGTCACAAAGAGTCATTCACAACTGAGCAAGAGTGGCAGCAATGCCAAAAAGGATAGCTTGGGAGTTACTTTTTTTTTTTTTAACCATTATTTGGCATAAAAGAGGACTGCTGGAGGTTTGGAATTAAGATGATCTTAGGCTTCCTGACCTATCAGTAATAAATACTTTGCAGCCAGAAATTTGACTTCCTAGTATTACTAACACCATTGAAGAAACATTTAGAATTTAGACAAATTAGGAAACCACTAAAACACAAGCAGCTGAAAAGTGTTTCATATGCTAAGACAAACCTTTTTCCCAGACAGTCTTTGATCTAGATAGAATTCATCAGTATGAGATTTGTAGTACAAAGAAACATGCTTTACAAATTAATATTGTAGCAAGCGACAGTTAGGTTGATTAAAGCATAAATAACAATGTAAATGAACTAAGTCCTGACTGATTATAACACATGCTAATTGTTTCTTAGAAAACATATAACCTCTTCTTGTTCACTCAAAACATGTTACTGCATTTACCAAAAAAATACATATTTCTTATAAATTGTTCTTTGCTTAAGATTTTCCATTATGTCACTATCTATTTCCACAATCAGGGTAAAATTTTACTATTTTTGAGTATTATGATCAGGTTTAACTGATCATAATATTCTGCATGTTAATATTCTGTATGTAGATATTAGGGTCTTCAGCCTTTCCCTACCAAATCTGGAGAAACTTTAATACTCATGGGTTTACAGTTTTAAGTATGCCTTTCAAATGTTATTTTTAACTTTAAAAAATACGACCAATACCCAAACTGATCCTACATAGCAAAAACATAATACAGAACAAGTAGTTATCACAAGAAAGTCTCTAACAATAATCACATTTGAAATAATCCCAAACTGAAGTTACCTGTCAAAATCTTATATTAAGAAATGTAATATTCAAATTAATATTTTTATTTTTAATCTCATCCATCTGCCCACAAAATAACCCAAACCTTATTAATCTACTATCCTGTGCTGCAGTAGTCCTTTTCTTTAAAATAAACTATCAAAATAATTTCTTAACCAATATGAAATCAAGCAGCTAGCTTACATGAAATTTTAAAGGTTGTAACGATAACCCTATGTGCAAAACAGAAAAAGAGACTCCTATGTATAGAACAGACTTGTGGACTCTGGGAGAAGGCGAGGGTGGGATGTTTCAAGAGAACAGCATTGAAACACGTATATTATCTAGGGTGAAACAGTTCACCAGCCCAGGTTGGGTGCATGAGACAAGTGCTCGGGCCTGGTGCACTGGGAAGACCCAGAGGGATTGGGTGGAGAGGGAGGTGGGAGGGGGGACCAGGATGGGGAATACATGTAAAAAAAAAAAAGATACACTATGGTTGTGATTAAAAAAAAAAAAAAAATAAATAAATAAATAAATTTAAAAAAAATAAAAATAAAAAAATAAAAAATAAAACCCATGTTCTGGTGAAACCTAAATCTAATTTTCTACTCTGCCCCCATCTTTCTTTGCTATATTCTTAAGGGAGAAAAACATAAAGTAATGATATAAGCATATTTTTAAAAATTGAATAAAAAAAAAAATAAAAAAATAAAATTTTCTTAGTGAAAATATAAGAGCCTCATCATAAGATATTCCAAAATATTAAACAAATATTCTTATAGTCCATGACTATACCTGAGCTGTAAGAAATTCTGTTCATTCCGCAAAAATGTCAGGTAAGCTGTTTTACAGGTTTACATGATATGCTATACATTGCAACCATATTTTTTTGTAAAGAAAAATTTACTTTTAGAAGCAGCAGCAAAACCCAAGAAAGCAAAAATTTGTACCCAAACTGGCATCTCTCCCCACCCTCATCAAAAACCTGCAGCAGGCAAAGAAAACTTTGAAAAACAGTAAGGTCTGGTTAAAAGGAAATAAAAGCATGACCTGTGAGGTGAAATACAATGAGGGGGTTATCAGAATCTTCTTTTGAAAAAAAAGGAGAAAAAAAAAAAGGTTGAATCTGAATTATTGCAAGCAAACAGATCCTGATCAGCTGGGTTGAGAGAGATGACTTACAGAGCACCGCTACAGCCCCAGACTCGAACATGAGACATTCTTCCTTGTGCCTGGTTTCCACTATGAGGCTGAAAGGTGGGGGATCCAATTTGTGATAGATCCGAAATCCTTTGCTGAACGCCATTCTCTTTTCTTCGGAGGCAGCCCTGTGAAAACCAAGCAAAGCAAAGCAAATGAAGCTAATGTTTCCTTCTGCAGCAAGGACTGCAAGCCATCGAAGTCCCTCCCTGCCAGGTTTTGATGGGGGAGGAGGGAGAAGCGGAGGGGGTGCGAGAGAGCTCGGGGACAGAATTGTTTATTCCAAAAGATAAGTCATCACTTAATTTTTTACCGAAAAGCAGGAGGGAAAGCGGTCTCACAGCAAGTCAAGACAGGGTTCTCTTATCACTCCAAAGTTCCAAGAACGGTTTGGTTAAGATGAATTTCCCTTTTCTATTTACCAAAAAGGAAAAAAATTGAGCCTATTTTCGCTCGGGAGTGGTTTATCAGCTTTCTGCTTCGGGATTTGTCACTGCCGTTTGAAAGGGAAAACGATTCGGAAACTTCAAACCGATCCCCTGGGCTGGGGGTCGCGGCGGAGGAGATGAAGATGGGAAGGAAGGTGAACAGGGCTGATTCAAAGCTCCTTAGAGGTGACAGAAGGGAAAGGATTATCCGACACCACAGGAGCTCCCGGGGCGGGGAGCGGCGGCGAAGGACAGGAGAAGCCGCCCAAGCCCGGGACACCCCGGCCGACGGGTCCGGGGGCCGGTAAATATAAATGGCCACCCGGGGCGGGAGAAGAGTCACGACTCGGGACTGGACCGGGGCTCCTCAGGGGGTCCCAGGCCGTCGACAGCCCGGAAAGCGGCTCTCTCTCGGGCGGGGACGCAAGCGCCTGGGCATCCCCATCCCTCCATTATACTCCAGAAGAGACGACCCGACGCCCAGACGGACTCGCAGCCTTTCCCGCGGGCAGGCGCGCTGACAGCCGCTGTCACCTCAGTCCCCCTCCGCCCGGCGCGGCGCCTAGCATAAAAACGGCGATCTCCCCCCACCACGCCTGCCCTCCGCGTACCCGGGCTGCGGGCGGTGGCCGCTAGCCTCTGCCGCCCGGGCTGCGGAGGCGGAGACTACTCCAGGAAGCGCCGGCCCGCGCACCCCGCAGCCGGTGGGTCTGGCCACTGCCGCTCCCCGCCCCCCTCCGCCCGCCCGCCAGCCACAGGCCGACTGTCTCACCTCTTCCTCCGGCTCCTCCTCCTTCCGCGGCCGCCGCCACCTCAACCGTCACTTCCGCTCCGGCGCGTCCATCTCTTCCGCATTGCGCCGCTGCCGAGGGGCGGAAGGCCCGCCCCCTTAGCGGGGAAGGGGCGGGGCGTTGTGGGAGGTCCCGCCCCACTCCCTGACTGCCCCTGCGGGTCGCTTAGGCGTGAGCAGCCCGCCGCCTCCGCGCGCAGCGACCTTCGCTTCGGGTGGCGTGTTTCCCCAGGCGGCGGCTGCGGGTCCCACCCCTGAGGATGCCGGGAGAGCGAGGATGCGGCCTCCCCCGCCCCCCTCGCGTGGTCTTCTCAGAGCTTAACGACCCTCCCCTCGGGTGCCGGGGAGGGACTCTGAGGAAAAAGTTTGGGGGCTTGCCTCAGAAGGGTGTCAGGACCACCCTTCGCCATCCGCACCGGCCTCGCTGGCCCGGGGTTAGGCCTGGGGACAGGAGCACGGCGGCCCAGCGGGCAGCGCCTGAAGAGCTGTCCATGGTGTCTCACGGCGTCTGGGTAGGTAGCAGGAAGAAGAGCTGGTTGCCCACTTTGGAACAGCTCTGTTAGCTGCTGTTTTCTTGTGGTGTGTTCTGGAGCGTCCGGAGCACCGTAAAAGAATTCTCTGCTGTCTGAAATCACAAGCCAGGATCTCGAGACTTCCACACGGCCGTACTGAGGCCCAGGCAGTAGCTCTGGGTCGTCACCGGATGGCGAATTGCTCTCGCCAACCGTGTAATTTCACAGCTCAGGGCATCTTATCATTTCACCCTATCCTCATTTTTCAACAAAGCATGCTTCCTGGATAATATCAGTTTGTCCCATGGACTTCTCAGTCCATTTCCACTTAATAGACCTAAACTTGGGAATGAAGTCAAAACCCACAGGGTCAAAAGGAATTTGGAATAAACTCAAAAGAACTCCGCACCTGAGGAAATAATTTCCTCTTGCTTTTCTCTCTTTGCCTCTTCCCCTTCTTGTTTTTGTTAACAACAAAAGCAGAATTTAAATTTAGTGTATTCCACAAGATCATTTTCCCCTCCAGGCCCTGTCATGTGACTTAACATTTTTTCATCCATTTTAGAGAAGCTGAAACCACCCGGGGTTTCAGGATACCAAAGTAGCTATAATTCATAAGCAAAGAAACCACTTCTTTTATGGAAGGAAATATGCAAAGACACTTGAGTTTAGTTTGGGCACTGGAGGCGATTTCTCTCGTTTAGTACCATCTCCTTAGAAAAACTCTTTTTGCTCTTCGTAGTGCTTTCTTACAGTAGCCTCAGAACTAAACTCATTAAGACACTCAACTGGTTCATGGTTGCTTATTATTATTATTTTTTCCCTCTCCAGAAGAATCTATTTCTTTCATGGCCACACCCTGTGGCATGCAGGATCTTAGTTCCCTGAGATCAGGGAGTGAACTGAATGTGGCTGTTAAAACTGGAGCCAGTTTTAACCACTGAACCACCAGGGAAGTAACCAAAAGAATCCATTTCGATTGGAGGTTGCACTGGACAAAGAAAAATGAAATGGGAGTGAGTGAGAATGGACTTTTTTCTTTTTTGCCTTTCTAGGTATATTAACTTGTATAGCCCCAAAGGAATAGCAGATAGATAGGCACCAGAAAAACTCATGGAAAGTTATGGCTTCAGAAGATGTGTTGATGTAATTGAGTATGATGCTGGCACGTTGTTCTTTTTTTTTTTTATGACAGCTGAGACCCAGAAAAGTTAACTTGTTAAAAATTACTCAGTGTGATGATAAAATTTAAAAAAAAAATCAAAAGAACAAACAAAAAAAATTACTCATTTTGAAGTAGGGTTGGGACCACCAATCAAACTTGCCCACTTTGTATCAGTGCTAGGCTCTTTTCAATGATCTGCCTATTCCTGGTTCCTTTGGATTTCAACTAAGGAAATTTAGGTCAACATTTCTTGGTTCTCGGTCTGAATTGCTGCTTTTTTCTTTGAATTAGACTGGACTGTTTTTCAAGAGTTTTCAGTAGAAGGCCACAGCTTTACCAAACCCTTTCAAAACAGATCATTGTAGTCATGAAATAAGCACATGCTCAGGGTTTAAAAATATACTTGTGTTAGTCGCTCAGTTGTGTCCGACTCTTTGCAACTCCACAGTCTGTCCATAGAATTCTCCAGGCAAGAATACTGGAGTGGGTAGCCATTCTCCAGGGGATCTTCCCAACCCAGGGATCAAACCCAGGTCTGCATACAATACAGGCAGATTCTTTAAAAACATAAGCGCCATTTTATTAGTGACTTTTAAAACCTGTTACTCCTTGTTCATCTTGTCTCTCTTTCCTATTTGTACTTCTATATTACAACACTTGAAAATAGCTGGCCAAATTGTCACCAAATTTGAAGAGTCTGGAATGGGCTGACTTTAAAATACAGGTTAAATGGCATACACAAACTTCTCAGTGAAGTCCTAAGGGCCTATGGAGATGGGCTGACACAATCTTGAGCCTTGAAAATGAGCAGTGAGGCCTGTGGTTGGATGAAAAAAACCACCTCCTAAAGATATCCACATCCTAACCCCCAGAACATGTGAATATTAATTTCTGGGGAAAACAAGTCTCTGTAGATATGTTTGTGTTAAGGATTTTGAAGTTACTTTGGATTACCTGGGTATTCCCTAAATGCAATCACAGATGTCCTTATAAGACAGCAGAGGGAGACTTTACACACATACATGCACACACTTACACACCCAGAGACAGTATAAAGACAGAGGTAGAGACTGCGGCAATGTGGCACTAGCCAAGGGATGTCAGTGGCCACCAGAAGGCAGGGAGGATTCTTCCCTAGTCTTAGAAGGGAGCATGGTTCTGCAAATATCTCCATTTGAAACCTCTGGACTCCAGAATTGTGAGGAAATGAATTTCTGCTGTTTTAAACTACACAGTGTGTGGTAATTTGTTACAGCACCCACAGACAACCTAACTTTCCATCAGGAAAGTTATATAAGACAATGTAACTTTCCCTCAGGAGAGAAACAGATCAGTAAAACAACCCCACAGATGTTTAAGATAACAGCTCCCATAGCTTCGATGAATTGAAGGCAAACACTATGATTTTTAGGGACTTCCCTGGTGGTCCAGTGGTTAAGAATCTGCATTTCCAGTGCAGGGGGCACAGGTTCCATCCCTGGTCAGGGAACTAAGATCCTATACACCAAAACAAAACAAACAAAAAATCTAACATGATTTTTAAATGTTGGGTTTTGACCAAATTATTCTCCTATGAACAACTCCCTGTATTAGGTTGAAATATACATTTGCTGTTTCTTTAGAAAATGATTGATTATCCCAATAACATAAAAAATATACCATATGTTACAAGGCTATTAATTTTGACATATTCACCATGTGTATTAGTAGTAGCCTACTTTTCCTGGATTTCCTTATCAAAAATGCTAGAAAGCATTTGGCAAATTTGGGGAATGTTAACAGCCTGATTCTGTTATCTTTAATAGCTTCTTTTCAGAGACAGATACAGATCTTCGTATCAAGATCTGCAAAGATCCATTATAAAGGCATGGATGACTCCTTGTGAAAGAGAAAACAATGGTCTTGAAGAGCAACACAATGGTGAGTTACAAATATCATTACTTAGCTATTTGCTTTGAACAAGTTCATAGTAATCAGTGAAGGATAAGATTTTAAACTGGAAAAACAGAAATTTTGTCAGTTGAAAACATGTAAGTTTGAGGGCAGAGTCATTGAGAATAAAACCAAAAACATCAAAGACTGAAAAACTGTTCACATACCAGGGTTAAGGAAATTGCAACTGAAACATACAGGGAACTTGTACGTGACAAACAGGCAACTTGTATGTGACACTTGTTTTCATTTGGAAAAAAAAGAGACCCAGTCAAGGGA